AATGTGGTCGCAAGTAAAGTTCCTTCAAGAACATACCATGCCACTGCCCAGCACTAACAAATACCTACTTAGAGAGGATAACACACTAAGTATGCAGGGCAGACCATATTAACACAAGTTGCACTCAAATTCACAAGAACCAGAACTGTTAAGTTTCTTACCCTAACAATTAACTGAGGTGTCTGAAGAAACAGCTCATTTTTTTTGTTATGATCTGTCATCCAGAATAATTCACAGCATTGGAACCACAGAGCTTTTGTCAGGAGAAAGTTGCAACATTTCCTGTATCACATGAATGGCATCAATTGCAATTAACTGCTCTAAACCAGAGTTCACATATCTCTGCTGGCTGGCTATTTCCCTTGGCACATGCACGCTTTCCAGTCCTTTTTCTCCATGCTTCACATAACTATCTGCAAGGGATTTATTATAAGCGATTCCAAGTATGCATATAGTTATTTTGGGCATTGATGTAGTTATTTTGGGCATTTTGCTTCATTGATTAATGAAGCCCTGTAGATTCATGAACAGCAGAATTCAAACCAATTCCATGGGATGTGTTTTCCCAGTGCATTTTCCATATTTTCCAATTTTAGTTTTATAAACTAAAAGACAAGGAGTGACTATTTGCTCAGCAGTGCAAAATAGCTGCAAAAGATTTTTGGTTTCATTCTCAGAATCACTTTAAACATCAAGAATCCAGGAAATTCAAGAGTCTTTCATCAAGATCACATAGCATCCTTTCTGGAATAAGTTGAAGAGTTGAAAGAACAATGCTTCTCCTGCATTTGACAGACAATGATGTAACACCACCATTTTTAGGGTGTGAACAACATAGGTAGTAAGATAATAGGCATTATAATACATCTTAAAAGTTGAAAATTTTTTGTGGCAAATAATCTTTCCATAAAGAATGGATCATTCCCATTCTGTTCTTGTTTTACCACTCCCTGTACTTTGACAGGTAACTGTTTCTAACTGTACTAATTGCGTTTTACAAATCTGAATCATTTAGGCTGTACACCAGGATTTAATTTCTTAAAATTCTCCCTTTGGGTTTGACTTGAAAAAAACCTAACCAGGTAAAGAGAGGTGTATTTCCCAAAAGCTTCATGAAATCCAGACAATTAAGTTGTTAACAAATTTGTTCACTTAAAAAAAAAGATTATGAACATAAAGCTTAAGTGGTTTAAGAAGATATGATAACAAGGTATCATTTAAACTGAGGGTTGAGGTGAATTATTTAGGATTGTTTAGGAAATCATAATGCAAATAAACAGGAGTAAGTAAGTTTGTAAAATTCAAGTTAAACATGAAGATCCTTTAAAAAAACAGGATTATTAAAGCCCATAGAACTCAAAAAATTTGATCACATTAAAAACCCAAATTTCCAGACACCCAGAAGTGCTAGACTGAAAAAAAACCCACATGGTAACAGGCTTTTTTATTAGTACAATTGCTAGAAACAATAATGAAATTATTTGCATTGTCAGGTAAATACCCTTGCTGATCTTAGCCATTTCCCACATAATGGCTCACAGATAAATTAGCTTTTAACTGTAAAGGGTAAGAACATTTCTGGCCTAAAGGAATGAGGTACAGAGACCTAATCAAATAATAATCAAGTTCTTTGTTCATTCCTTAGTAGTGAGACAACCACATGAGGAGAGAAAAATCTTCTTGATAGGTGACACGACTTAGAAAAACAACCTAATCTTGTCAGCAAGACATGAAAATGAAAATCATAAAACATTGCTGCAGGGATTTATATGAGGTTTTACAACTTCACAACAAAATTAAATTTGAAAGTATTTGGATGTAGCGTTTAAAAACAAGGGGATAAAGATACATATTCAGGTGATTATCAGATGTCAATAAAACTCATTGAGCATCAAAATTACTTCAACAACATTACAAAAATATCCATCTCCACATTTAGTTGTCTAAACTTTATAATGAGTTGCTGGGAAATATGCCAGAAACTCTGTTCCTTGTGTATCTGCTGTGATTCTTCTACCAAAAAAATTATTACAACTCTGATATTTATAACACAGAGACTAAATATAAGTAAGCCTCCAAGCAAAAATACATTATTCAGATGATAAATGTCTTTTACTACATTTTTTGTCATTTATTCTAATAACAGTTGCCCTATTTTCAGAAACTTTATATCATTCAACCTTAACAAGTCTTTTCCAGAGGGAGAAAAAGACTATTAAATCAATTTTCTCATCATAACTAGTTGGAGAAAATTCTGTCTCCTTAAGTGAACATACTCCAGTATGCAAAGATTTTTTTCCTTTAAAGTCTTGGTATTTCTGCCACCAAAATGACCATATTTTCTCTATTTAAATAATAAGCAAACCAACATTTCATTCCCATTTTGAAACAGCCAATAAACTGGTGTCAAATTATGTAGAGCAAAAAAACCATATCAGTTAAAAAATAAGCTTAAGAACATGTTAAGCATGTAAAAAGTGTATACTGGTAACTTGGAAATGGTGCCCCTTCATTTAAGTTCAAAATTTGCTTAGAGTGATAAAATTTCCACTGTCTAGAAATAGGTTACTGTAATTTAATGCATGGTTGCAATCCCCGCTTTTTTTGCCAGCAATCTCTCATTGTCCCCATTTAGGCCACCCTGAGCATCCCCAGCCCATGACTGAGTTCTCAAAAATATTTACAATCAGCTCTAACTGGAGGCTGTGATCCCTACCAAACCAGGTACACAAAGATCAAGATGGAAGTCTATGAACATCGTGAAGGCTTCATTACGCTCTCCTAATGCAGATCATAAAGTATTTGAAGAAAGAATGTAAAAATAACTGTGGCTGGGGAGAAATCCAGTGCTAGAATGAACCACTACAGTAGTTTGGCCAAATCATGCACTATTATGAATTCTGTACAGAGGTTTTGTTTATCTAGTCTAAAAAGTTCAAACACAACATTCCCTCATGTAACAAAAACCTGCAAAAAAGAAAATAAAAACATAAAAACAAAAAACTCTTAAAAAAACCCCACAGAAAAACCCCATGACAAAAAAACAACCTTACAGATTGAGATATATATATATAAAAAAAGCACTCATATTATGGAAGACCTCAGTGAGAGATTCCACCAATTGCTATAGGAACTGTATGAAGTTCCATATATTAAAAAGGAAGTAATTAAGCAAATTAAGAAGAAAAGAACTTTTTCAATACGTTATGGAACAACATGAAACTTCAGCAAATGCAACATGAAGCTCGTGAAACCTCTGCAACACACCAGCAATCCCCATCTTCTGCACGATACGGTCAAAGGTCCACTAGGAGGTCCAGCTGCAATTCACTGAAGCAGTTATTCACCTCAAAATTGGGATATCTGTTCAAGTGCTTTCACAGGTGCTGGAGAGAAACTGCTGCTACATCACCAGTGCTTTATGGGAATAAAAAAAGAGTCACTACACTTTTTTTTCCTGCTTGTTCTAGAAGTCTCAAGACATTTTGGAAGCCAGTACAAATCATAGCAGCAATTCAGATACTACGTTTCAGCAATATGACCTGAAAACTCCCTACACTCTGTAAAGAATTATGAAATACAGATACTAATTACCTAGAATCTTAAGTACATCATATTAGTCTATTCATGCTACAGTGATCCAGAAGATGTTCTCAAGCCATAAATGGACTATTGAGAGTGCACTCCTATTTTAGTCTCTGCTCATCTGTAACACAGAAAGAAGTAAATGAGAGAGCAGGGTTGGGTTTGGTTTTTTTTTGTCTCCTCCAGAAGAAAACCAGTAGCAGAAAGTATCCCATTAGAGGGATCACAAAGAAAATAGTTTGAGAACAGATTCAGCATTGCTGAAGGGGATGAAAGCTAAAAGGCACCTAGAGAAATAAACAACTTCAAGCATTTGACTAACCAAATGTACAGCAGACTTTGCCACTGGCATCTTGCCTTTGTAGCTCTCTCTCTCCAGGTTCTGCCCCTTTGTACCATGCCCTAAGCAAAGCAGATCAGTTTAAAACAAAATTCATACTAACATTTAAATGAGCCTTTATTAATTTTAGTTAAATAGTCTATTTGAATCTTTGTTTACAGCTATATTTTTAGATATTTTCCAAAAACAAAGAGACATCTATTCTCATTTGTTGGCATAACAATGCAGGTATACTGAAGAGGAAAACAAGATGGATTAGATCTGGTGGCTGTATATGCACTGACATATTGATCCATGTCAATTTTGTATTATTTTATCAGAAAATTAAAGCACTTAAAGGATAGTTGGATTTCTGTTTGTTTGTTTGTTTTGTTTCTGTGGGGCTTTTAATCAGATAAGTTTCCCAAGAGTCTAATTCTACTACACCAAACCCAGTTACAGATCTTTTTTTGAAATCTCAGTAGGATTTTTGATGTTTGGAGTTCTCTGAAATTTTGTGTACATATCCTTTAAATATCAAAGGTTAGATCCTATCTTCTCTAGGATATCCATGCACTATGTGAAAAAAGGCTTTCCTGCTTTTTCTACTCCCAGCTGGGTTCTCAACTTTGAATGAATCCTGAACTGACCCACCCATCTGCTCTACCACACATCTGCAAGTAACACAGACTTGGTTTAGCTGGCTGAAAATGCAGACAGCTGAAGCAGCACAAAACCCAGTGATTAGGATCCTGGGTCTAAGTTAATTTCAGGCTGCTGCCACTGTAGCTCTCAGCTGACAAGAAAACCAATTGGTGGGGCACAATGGACAAAGACAAAATGAAAAAATGGAGAAAAAAAAAACAAAACGAAAAGGATGAAGATGTTTGCATATGAAAACAAGATGCTAAATTATGTTTATTTGGACTGTAAAACTACCACAGAAATACTTGAGAAAGAGAGAGAAATCCTATTTTTAGTTTCTAATATTAATCTTGAGCAACTTCATTGGTATCAATCAAGTTAAAATGCATTGCACCTTCCTAAATAAAATTTGTCAAATCTTACAGTCTCATTAAACAAAAAAATTGTTTATTTTGTTTTTCTATTTGTATGAAAAATCTTCTGTATCTGGTCATTTCTTTATTATAGGTCAGATCCAAACCTAGAGACTGAGATCAAAATACTGGTAAAATATTTGAGATATTTTTAAGCCCAAACCTGAAAATTAACCTTTAAAATAGAATTTAACTTTATTTCTCAGCAAAACAAAATCCAAAACTGAAAACATAATTCCTTCATCCTGACACAGAAAATATTTTATTAGCTTTCCTTATGAATGTTTCAACACAGCATCTAGTTTTACCCTGTCCTGCAAGAAAAGTATTTCATGAGCCTCAGTTAACTACAGATGTGAGCAACGCATTTTTATTCTAGTATCTCTGAACACCATTTTAAATGATTGAAATATTTTTAAATAATTTTAATTTTTTTAATATTTTCCATAATGTATATTAGAAACCTAGTTTTGTGCCTATTCTGATCCATCTGAATATATAGGATTTTTGTGTGGAGTGCTACTGTCAAAATGATACATAAAAACAATTGCTGATTTTCCAACACATTGTTTATGCATCTGAAAAATAGATCTTTCTAAGAGCATGCATGACCATATTGCTTGAGTATTACAGACCAGGATGCTCTTCTGTGAAACTGCAGAGTAACAGGAGACCAAAAACTCAGCTGTTTCAGTATCCAAATACTGAGGCACCAGAATTAGTGGGGATCTTTGAAACTAAAATTTCCTAACTCCTAGAAACTCTTCAACGCTGGTTTCACATCACAAGAGCCGTGCGCTGTCACCACGCATGCAATGCGCTCTCCTCACTTGCCAAGCAAAGCTCACAATGAAGACACGAGGGAAGGGCGCAGAGCAGCAGAGACAAGCCAGACACCATCTAGGGCCCAGCAGCCGAATTACACACAGCTGGTCCCAGCAAAATCCAGGGGCACAGTCTGACATTAAAACAATTAAAGTGAAAGCTCTTGGCATCCATCATCAGCTCCTTCAACGACTCTTCCTGGCTCAGTGGCAGCCTTGTGCCCTCCTCTGAAGCTCATAACTGAATCTGTAAAAGAATATACAACTATTTGCCCACTGTAAAAAGCAAGCATTTTATTTATTATACAAAGCAAGTCTTGTCACAGCTGAAGCCTATAAATTGCTGAAGCCTATAAATTGCTGGGCAGCACTCTCACAATGATCATAGAACCCTCTTGCAAGCAACGCGAATTTTTCAAAAATCAGATCTGTGATAACAACCAGAGCTATGTCTTTAACAAAACTCCCAAAATTCAGCAAAGGGAGGTGCTTTGGGGAAGGATAACAGCTCACAAACCCAGGAAGACATCTGCATATAGGTGTGTCATTTGCTTGTATGAAAATGAGAAGCAGACAAGTAGAGCAAACAAGTATTCTCCTTCCTTTGCTACTGAACTGAGCAAGAACAGTCTGACTGACCTCTCCCAGGTCACTTTAGCTGCTCATTGCAAAAACATTTCAGCTTCTGCAGGTTCTGCATTTTCCTATGTTTGGGACCTCTCAACCAGGAACAACCTTCTCCTGAAATATCCAATCCAACAAAAAAATGTAACTGATCAGAAAGAAAACTCTTTGGCACAAGAAAGACTTGTTTTGAATAACCTGCTATTTTTAAATTATCTCATCTCCAAGTGAATGAGTCATCAGTAAGACCCAAGAAAATTATTTCCCTTTACACAGAGCCATCTGAGAGATAACCTATCCCTGCAAAACTAACAAAGACAAACCCTGTTTCATAGACCCCAATAAGGAAAGCAAAAGCAGAACCACAGAAATCACTGAAATCCAGTATCTTGCCTCAGGTTACCCCACTATTTGGTTCTTACTGTACAAGGAAGAAAGTGGAACTAGTAAATGGTCTTTCCTCTGGTATTCAGTCCCTCATTCTGGTGATCAGCAGTTTAAAGTTTTCCTAAGCTGGTGATTGCATCTGTTGAATTAGGATCATTGTACTCAATTACCTAATTCCTTTTTAACCTATTTACATGCATGGCCTCCACAATACCCTTCATCACTGTAATTTCTGCACTTGAACTCTACACTTTCTCAGAAATGTTTCTCTCATTTTTAACTTAGGAATTGCTAAATATTATGGAAATTTACAATTACTGCTATAATGAAATAGTTTGAATTTATTCTGTATTCACTTTTTATTCTTTATTTTTCACACTATCACATCCTCTGTCTCCCAAATTGCTTCATTTCCAGAACTCCTTATCTACAGAGCTTCAAGTTGAACAGAATTTATTTCCCCAGTAGCCAAGAAATCGTGATTCACCAACATATGATTCAGACTTTACAATCCTGAGATTTAAAACCCAGGGAAAGCCTGGTCTCAGGTTGCCAGCCCTCAGGGCTACCATCAATGACATTATCTGAGACCATGGCAGATGGTCACTGTCACTACCCCAGGAAATCTGCGGACAGGTCAGATAACATCTAGCAACATCTAGTATCATCCTTTTTTTTTGCCTTGAATAAATTAAAAAATAATGTGCAGAAGGCCCTCCAAAACATCTTTTTATATTGAGTCCCCAACAGCAGCCACTTATCTCTCAGACACTTGTGTGCACCACAAGAAACAGAAGAGCAGGAAGAAATGCCCGAGTAGAGCCCAGCACTGGAAAGAGGCATATCCTGGACAAGTAGAGCCCAGCACTGGAAAGAGGCATATCCTGGACAATGAGCATGCTCATTGTCACACAGAGGAGAGAAAACCACTCCAGGGAAAAGTGTTTGCTCCAGACAAAGGATATTGACAGCCAGCAGTAGCACCTAAAAATCAAGATATTGCCTCAAAAAATAAGATACAGAAAGAAGCATACATAGGATGATTTATGCTTTCTGGATTATCAAGATTGGGTATGCTTTCTGGATTATCAAGATTGGGGTTTGCACATTTTCAATCTCTACGATGAGAGCCAAAATCTTGCCTATTTTTTTTTAACTTTCAAATAAATAACTAGAATATTGGAGTTTTCTTGGTGCGGAAATTACAAGACTGCAAGATTATAGCAGAAACAAAGAAGTTAACAATAATGATTTGATACTAAATTTTCTTTATAATATCCTTCTCTAAGCATTATATTCACACTTCAACCACTCACGGCACAGCTGTAATTTAACACTGCCAAATACTAGAAACTTCTTTATCATTGTGCTCCTATCCCTGCCAATAAAGATATCTAAAATGAAAAAATGAGACACTTGAAAACTGAGATTTTGTAAAGGACTGATGCCTCTGACTACGGATTGAGACATTTTCCCATTCTACATAAGTAAAGGAAAAAGACACTTTTTTTTTTTTTAATTCTACAACTATTTCTAATACTTGTTGGAAGCTGCTTTAAGGCTTAAAATATTGTAATAAATCTCAATGTGATTTCAGTGCCTTGAAAAAGTTTGGTCAGTAGGAAATGTCGAGCACTTGCCAACTCAGAACAAATTCTGGGTCTGGATAATTCCATGATTCTGTGTGAGGTACTGGAGCAGGTTGCCAAGAGCACCTGTGGGTGCCCCAATTCATGGCAGTGCCCAAGGCCAGGTTGGATGGGGCTTTGAGCCAAGGAAGTGAAAGGTGTCCCTGCCCATGGCACAAAAAGGGCTGGAATGAGATGATCTTTAAGGTGCCTTCCAGCCCAAACCATTCTATGGTTCTATGAAATAGAGTAAAAGTACTAAACCACAGTATTAGTAACAAACTCAAAGGAAAATTTACTTAGCCTTGTATTTCTTGAAAGCTGAAAGCATTCAATCAAATTGCCCATACCAGGAAGACATTTTAAAAAGGACTTTCATTGGAATTAAACGTATTTTCTTATTTGCTCATACAGACACAGAAAACACACCCTTTCTAAATATACAAGAAAAGCCTTCTGGAGAAATATCAAATGTTAGCAAGAAAAAAGTCAGTTCATTATGAACTGTAAAAGAAAAGCAAACTAAAAAAATAAATCATAACAATTATAAATTGGTATTATTTTCCCATATAAAATATATCAGTAGCAAAACTAGACCTGGTCCTAGGAATAAGTTATTAAAAACTGTACTATAACTGCAAAGCATTAAAAATATATTACAGGTTGCACACACTATCTATCAACTAATTTTTTTTTTTCAAGTCAATTTTGTCAGGCTTATTTTAATTATTTTTATTACTTTTTAATAAATATGCATAAATGGAAGCACTATATAAACAGTTATTTCTTCAATCACTGTGAAATTAAAAATTTAAAATTCAAAGGTGAAAGTATAGCAGATAACAGAATAAAAGCCTCTGGGTTACAGTATTTGAACAAGATAAATCATAATCCTCTAGAATTTTTTTATTTCATATCCATAAAAATGCATTTGCCCTATTCCATAATTTTTTCTATTTGTTGTGCATGAAAATTAGAAGTTTTCTTATTCTAAAAAAAAAAAAAACCCCAAACTGAGAGGTATTTTTAATTCTGTCCAGTCACAATTTATAACTATTATTATTTGAACTCTTAGAGCAAGCACTTTATGTGATTACAGTCATAATGACTATGCTACAGTAGCTCAGTAATTTCCATGAACAGTCTGGAGAGTAACAAACTTAGAGAAAATAAGTAGATTTTTGTATTGCCAGAGATGTATTTGTTTGCAATCATTCTACTAAGCAGGCTTGTTGTTCATATGTGTATTGTCCAAGCCCCTGATCAGGCCAGTCACAGCCCAGGACCAGTGAGTGACAAACCCTGCACCCACTTAGAAGGAAACCACAGTCTTCTTCCCAAAATATTCACACAATTTTTTTTCCTAAACAAATAATCATAAAATATAACCACCTAAAGTTTTTACAGCATCTTATCCATGCCTTAGTGTTCTTTATTCTTACCATGTTTATTTCTGTGGGATGCCAAACACAAAGCAGATTAGCTCAGTTTTCTCAGGGGTAAACGTACATTGCATTTATGCAAGGTCAGAGCACACTACTAAGGGACTTGAAGAGAAGGCTCTGATCCTGTCTACTTTGCAGCAGATTTTTGTACAGCCATCCCCTGTATGCAAGCCAAGAAAGAAGAGACAGACACAAAGAAATAAACATTAAATAGTTAATAATTTTTGATTAGTTAGCAATTTTAGTAGTCCAAGAGTCACCAAGAATTGGTTTTGCAGAGATACCTTTTATTATTTTTATAATATTTTTAACCTATTTTTTACCTACTGGTTTTGCCACTGAAACACTACTCAGAATTTTTATATGGTGAGCTTATCTTAATACCAGACAACTCTTGAAATCATAATTTCTACAGTTTTAGATTTTAAAAAAATCTATTTCAGAGCAAGAACGCTACTTTCCTCTGAGAGTTTCTCAGATTCCACATTGGGTGCGTCATCAAAACCTACATTCTTTGTGTTGAACTACCCAAGACATACAAGTTCTACAAATGTGTAACAGACTGGATTGTATAAGTCTGAATCACTCACGGAAGAATAAACAAAAAAATTTAGTCAGGTTTTACATATCTGCACATTCACATGTTTTGGTAATAACTTTCATTAGGCGTCTTAAATATTGCCATACTTTTCTTCAGAAGATTACTTGACGAAGTTCTATTTGTAATCTCTAGTTTAACGTTTTTCATAGGCATACATATATGAACAAGTTTCACATTTATTGAGAAATTTGGGGGAGGGAAGCAGGGTAAGGTAGGTTTGGGATTTGGTGTTGTTTGGCTGTAATGTACTGGGGTTTTCAAGCTCTAATCTGGTTACTATGCACAGTCCCAGCATATCTGCCAATGGGAACACAGTTCCTGTAGCAGAAGCTAGTCCAAGGCAAATAAATCCCTCATCATGGGTACAGTGGAGACGCCCAGTTCTCAAAAACATCTCCTGCCCTCCACAAGCTGGCTTTCAGCAGCACTCCTTGGTAAAGCACGCACATTCTTCAGCAGCTTGATATTTTTCAAGGCAAAAAGGGCTTTGCTGCTTCTGTTATTTTTGCCCAAATTTGGCCAGCACTGGACAGAGCATTGGAGGGGTGGGGAATTTAAATAAGTTCACAAATATTCGGTGGAAAGTTACTTATTTTAAATTGGTCTTCCAACTCCAGAGGCAACTGCAGTTGTGTTGCTTTGGGCAATATTGGCTAACATTTAGAAACCTTTCCATACCTGGGGTTATGGGTGGGCAAACAGAAAAAAATGTTCATGTATTTGCTGGTCACAGTAAATCAATTCAGATACAGCAGACATAAAACCCTGAAGTCTTTGGTAAGACAAAATGAAAGTAACACAATCAAACTACACAAACATTTGGAAGAAACATTTCTTCCTCTCTAAAGCTGAATGTGGCTTTTTCTTTAAAAGATTCTTTAAAAGTCTTTGTCTGCCTATGTTGTCTTAGACAAAATCATGTGACTTATATGAGTTTTCAGTGTATACTCCACAGCAGGGTTTTTTTCAATCCATTCCCGTACAAGATGAGGACTGGGAGTGAGGGGTTATTCCAAAAGCAAGAGGCACATTTGATGTTGATGGGGAAACCAGACAGATCACTACATTACAAACTCCTTTTTCAAAAGTTGGTGAGGATAAGCATGAAGGCTTCTGCACTGCTTAATGCTATTTTTGAGAGCATATTCACCTTATCTGAAATCATTCAGATGCTTCTCCCAAAACATGGAATTCATCTATTATTAGAATTTTCATGAGTAGATTCTCAGATGAGTATGAAACACAGCTTTATGAGTGCTTTTACAGCTCATTGCTACATTTAATTTCAAGAGCTATTATAAGGTTGCAATAAAAACAAGTGGACATAGTTAAGTATTTCACTATAGCATAGTCATAAAGAGGAAAAACATAATAAAGTGGGAGCTTTCTAAAAGACAGTTATACAGTCAGTCAAGTCTTATGTGAGCGTTTCTATCTTCTCTTCAAATATACAGAAAGGATAACACCAATTGAAGGAGATGGATAATATGGGTTACAATCCAAGTTATGAAATCTACTGAAACAAAGTAAAGTATGTTAAAATCTCAGCACAGAGCAGACTTGCAGACACTGCATGAAGATTTCCCATCACAATGATACCTTGGAAACATTATACAAGTCTCAAATGAAGTAGCAACAGTCTCAAAAGAACTGTAAAATAAGTTGTTCCTGAGGAACAGCATTAAGATGGCTGACAGCAACTGCTGCACAGACTGCTGCACAGACTTGGGGATGAGGGGGCAGAAGGGAACTAATTTCATTCTATAAATTCTTTTAAAATACCAATACATACCATACATATCATATACATATCACTTCTGCTGACACGATAATGTACTGTTCTGGGACACTGATTCTATTTTGGTAGCTACTTAAATAGGTCACAAAAATGATTAAAAGAAATGCTTAGTACATATTTAGGAAAATGGATACAGGTTATCACATTTTCATTAATTCAAAGCTAGACGAGTGCCCACTATTCCACAGGCAATAGCAAATTCTAATTTTTGTTACATTCTTCATACTATGGAGTATAGAAGGAGAATAATTTTATTCCCCTGTGTATGCTATTCTTTGCCCTTATAAAGAAAAAAGTATCAATATACTAGTCAGTACCATTGAAAAAAAATCTAAAACACTGAAAATTTACATACAATCTCCCTCATGGTGCCTTAATTTCCTAATCATATTTACAACACTATTGAACACCTTGATACCACACAATCACCACAAAGTTTTCAGTGGTATTCAGAGTTCAAAAGTTTTCAGAATTTACATGAAATCACATTCTTGCTTTTGCATGCTTACTTCTAAAGTAAAACCTCTGTGCATTCATATGTTGAAAGGGAAGTTTATATGTACCTACCATCTTCTCTTTGGAAAAAGACACAGCATTTTGCTCTTGACTTTAATGACATTGTTTGCCAGACTAATTACAGTTTAAGTACCTATTTTCTATTCTTGCCAGGATCTAATAGCAGAGTTGGGTCTTTTTTCCATCCTTACATAGTTTCAGCAACTAGGAATGTCTCTAGAGATAATCCAGCACAATTGCTAGTGATGTGCAATATTTTCTGGAATTTTTGAGTGTGACAGCTAATTGCTGTGGCAGTAATTGCTCCCAGGGAAATTTGTCCTGGAACTTCTTGCAGCCCAACTGATGCAAACAGAGTCTTACATTCTTTAAAAAGTCAAGAGGATTCCACAAAGGCTTAAAAATCTACATTTCAGATTGGTATTTTGCAGACAAAAATTAATAAATCATGTTGCATTTTATATTTTTGTATTGTTTGAAAACCTACTTGCAACAAAATGAATCAAAGGTGACCTTTTATCATTGCAAGATACTCTTTGAATATGTTTACAGTAAATGTAAATGTTTATAGAAAATTCACTATTTAGGTGGACTTAACTGAGGGTATCAACATTTATAATCCAAATAAGCTACTTCTTTCTCCTTAGTTTCCACTTAATCTATCATCCATCTGTAACATATTTGTTACATATAAAGATAAAAGTGAGCACTTTTCACTGAATTTTCACAGGACTGAAAGAGATCTCGTGAGGTCTTCCAGTCCATAATTCAACTCTGAAACAGTAATAATTGTCTTACCTATTCCTACAGACAGATAATAGATTCCATAAATACACCAGACCATTTGTTCCATTACTACACCACTCTTAGCATTGACAGCTTTCCTCTAACATGCTTTTAAAATTGTCCCATAACCTTTCCTCAGTTCCTATTCAGTACAGATATAAGAAAGAAACTGATCCTTTTTGCAGCTGTATTACACACCAAATATGTGTCTCCAGGCTAAGGAACCACAGTTCCTTCAAATGCTCTTTCATATTTTTAGGCCCACACTCATTTATTTTGTTGATGAATTATTCTGCAGTTGCTCCTCTTTTCTCAAAACACACATCTAGTACTGCACTAATCAACTAATACCTTACAAATATTGGCCCATGTAACTTGAAGACTTAATTTCTCTGAAATATGTTACTGTGCCAGTTTTTTTGCAGCAAGCTCCTGGTCTGTTTGATTAAAATTGAGATCTTGCAAATCTTGACCTTATCTTTCACATCTCCACTAAATTTCAATATGTATTTATTTATAAACTTTGCAATGTCTTGTAAATACCTAATTAAACAAAGTGGAAAGGTTGTAAGTAGGAAAAAAGGGAAATTGGCAGAGACAGAGAAGGCTCAGGATTCAAGATGCTATTTTGTGCCTGCAGTACAAGGAGGCAAAAGCCCTGGTTTTCCTGCTTCTGTCCCTACACTTCTTTACCCATTAAATTTAGTCAGCTCCCTTTGCCTTTCATCCAGTCAGCCATAATGCCCTCGATTCTCCAAGTTCACACAAAGCTCCACACCTCATTTACCCTCATTTCACCCTGTAACTTCTTTTTTTCCCCAAGACATTTCTTCTACTTTTAGTAATAGCCTTTATCATCTATTCCAACTTTCACCTTGCCTATCCTAATAAACAACCTTGTAGAATAAGGGTGGATTTTAATTATCTTTAAATATGCTACGCTTTTTTTTTCATTTCATGAGAAGACCTTTTAAACTGCACCAATACTGAAAATCATGTGAACACATTCAGTGCTCCATCAATTTGTATGACATAAAAAATGGCATTATTATTGCAAAAGGAGTCACATGGATATGATCTTTCGATAGTTTGGGCTTTTTACAAGGCAGACCCGAACCTATGAAAGGAATGTGCACTGCCTATGGCTTTCCCTTCTCGCATCAGACACACAACTAATTGTCTAAGACACTTCACAGTGGATTAAGTATTCCCTCACCTACTTAAACCCTGTCATCCACTGAAACTGTAAACATTGCTTAATTAAGAAGCATTAAAAGATGTCAGTGGAAGTATTTTGTTTTAGAATTCATTCTATATTTTTTCCAAAGGAAAAAGTAGCAAGAAGATACAATTATTAACAGAGGAAACTGAAAGCATATATTTAACAAGTAGAATTTGTGGGAAGAAATCAAGATGTAGATGCATCTTATGGTGGGATAATTTCCACACTTTTTTTTTT